GTGCTGGTATGTAGAGTAAACTGTATAACTATTACTTAGACAAATCAGTTGTTAGAGAGAGAGTTAGCAAGAGCCACATTTGCTGAGACTGTACTGTATTTTTAATTTCATTATTTTTCAAAACTTATTAGGTTTTCGAAATGATTACACTTTTACTAACCTTTAGCTGTGCCCCAAATTTAATTGCGATCTATCAAAACAAAAGGTTGGATTTCAAAACCATCACACTCGACTATTACTTTTGTCGTTCTGAGATGCTATATATGTAGGTATGTGTTGTTACAAATATGTGTATAGGAGATAAGTATGTAAATCAGACCTGGCAAGGTGATCTTTTTCTGAGTAATTATACTTTAGGCATAAAACAGGTATAAGTAATCATTTCCTAGATAATGATTTAATTTATATTCTAGGCTATAACTTAACAAGTTAGCCTTCATAATTTCGTTTACCACATATTCAATTGATTTACAGACCTACTTGAATAGTGAAACTTGATGTTGTGCGATTTCTCTTTTAAACTAGAATTTATATTGTTGACATTATAGGCATTAGATTGGCGCAAATTCATAAATAAACTTGAACTTCGCCAGCCAACAAACACTGGGTATAATTAATAGCGTTATAGATAAACTGTTCATATTTTACAAGCTGACGTGTTACGTATGCCCCTGTCTAATATATGTGACAGATTAGAAATATTTACTTGCACTAGCACTTAACTTATAAACACTATTAATGCTTATGTGTGTGTACGTACGATGTATGTAAACTAACAGGGTATTTATTTATATGCGATATCTAGCTATCGATCTGTGTTCGGCTGACATTCTAACAGGCATACACACACACGCGCTCTCATATATATGTTTATTAGTTAATAAATTTTTATCTGTTTGCGTACTCATAACCATACTTCGTAGCGGTTTCATAGTTGTGGGCAGGTGCGCGTTAGCATCCGCTTTCCTGTTTACTTGCGCTGCTTGGCGTCGGTGTCGGTACAACTGGCAGCTGGCAGCTGTTGCGCATTTCGTGTTCTCCACACACGACGCCGATTCGCCGATATTCAACGGCCACGCGCCAGTTGTTGCCTATCAGTCGCCTCCAACTCGCATGCTACAGACGCGTTGCGCTTCCTTGATTTTTTTTTTTAATTTAATAAAAAAAGAATTTTAGTGACAAACCAGCGAATTCGGGAAAGACCTTGCGTGCGCGCATACTCGTGTATTTCGCCGATTTTCATGTGACGAAGTTGTCAAAATTGTTGCAAACTCTCCTGAGTGTTGCGCATTTTTGCGCTGTGACGAACTTTTCGCAAATTTTAGTTTAAATATTCTCGAAAAAAGTGAAATTTAAAATAATTCTGAATGCATACTTCTGATAATTCGTTGTGAAAGTTGCAATCTCTGCGTCCCCTGTGTGCGCTGCATCATTCGATTTGCCCGCAGTGGTGCCGCGAAGCGCGTGTTTTGTCGTAAATTTTGTAAAAAGTGCGAAATTTCACACGCATCTACAGCTTTTGTGGTGCGTGCGAGTGTGCGTGTGTGTGTGAAATGTTAGTGTTTCGTTGAGCATGTTAATATTAATGATGCCACCGGAGAAATCACGGCAGCCACTACGACGTTGCAAAGATGGTAAGCATGAAGCTTGTGGTGGTGTGGTTGCAAGCGACACCTTAGAAGCAAGTCAGCTCGCTCTTTATCGTTACAGGTGTAGAAATGCATGCTAAGAAAGAAGACACCAGGAGGGATGGTTATCCTTAACTAACTACGCAGTTAACTGAAGCTGCATTCATGTTGCCATGTTGCAAGCAACCTCAACTGCTTTAACTGTACACAACACACACTCGTAGAGAGAGTCGCACAAGTTCCTATTCATCATTGCTGCTTGACTTTCGTGTCATGCTCATACTTTTTGCTGATTCTTCTTCCTCGTCTTCTTCTGCATTATCCTTGAGGTTATTGTCTGCGCTGTGATTTATTCATCTCAGACATTCCTCTCTTTAAGGCATTTCAGATTGTGCATATTAAAGAAATACCTTAAAAAAATGCAAACATGAAATAGAATTGTGAAAAGAAAGCGTGCGAAGATAGCTTTAGGGCTTCTCGCAAGTATGCAAAGAAAAATGCGCATTTTAATGCTTTGTTGTTGTAGCAAAGATCTGCTATTGCATTGCATTTGCTGCTGAAAAATGCTCTTCTCATGAAATATTTGATATTATAATGTTCCTTTCAAATATTTTAAGCACAATTATTTAGTTGTGGTTGAGAGGAAGCTGTTATGGCGTGGTATTTGTAGATTTATAGTCTAAAGTTTATAGTTTATGAGCGCGGTTTGGGGCACACAAGTAGCTTGACAAAATATTTTACAATTAATTATTGTATAATGCTATTATATCAAAGATATGCCTGCTTATGGTGCTAAGTTATTAAATTTTAGCGACTATATGTTATATACTGTGCCTAACTGTGTTACGAAATTAGTTTTGGATAGTCACGATAATTTAACTAAAATATAACGTGTTTCATAAAATTTGAAATAATATTTACATGGCTAGCAGGCGTAATTGTTGTCCGATTTTAACCGTTATTTAAATTTACTTTAACAATATTATAGAAAAAATTTGTTAAAATTTGTGGTCAAATTAGCGGGTTGCCTCAGGTGAGTACCCAAAGTAGAGACAGTGTTGTGTAATGTTGATACCAACTGTTAAGTAATCTCTGTAGACTAAGAAAATTGGGATATCTTAAATTTGGATTATCTGATTATACTTTCACGAACTTTTAACTCTGCTCCAAATTTAACTGTGATCTCTCAATACAAAAGGTTAGATTTCAAAACCATCTCTCTCAACTATTACTCGTCATTCTGAGATACTACAATATATATGTACACGTTGTTAAGTAAGTGTATTCAAGCTAAGTATGTACAATGATTGTGAGCGGCACATACGTTTGATAATTTATTCTATTTTTAAGGAGTTCTGGAGGAGATATCATGATATTAGTTTTTCTAACTATATTCGTGCGTTGGACTTTGCGCCTGAAGAAGTGGGTTTGCTGGGAGTTCTTTCCCATTTCTTTAATATGAAGCTGAGGTTTTCAGCTAAAAGTCATCGTATTTCGGTTGAAGTTTATGATGCACATGCTTTAGCTGAGCGAACGTGCTAAAAGTGATATACAGGCCTAAACCTAGTGGTTCTGGCTTGAATATTAAGAACGTCCTGGGTAGTGAAAAAGTGTAAGGATGAGCAACTGGGAGTTAAGCACAAGAATGGCTCGCAGAATCTTCGGCCATTTCTGACTACTACTCGTACCGGCCGATGTAGTACGCCCTCAAGCCAAGCTGATGCAGTTCTTCTCGTAAATTGTGCTTCAGAAATGATTTCGAGCTTAAACTAAATTGTGTAACTCAATTAATCAAATTGCTTCACGAGGATTGAACCAAACCAAAATTTAAAAATTTGCGATGTCATATCCAGTTCATCGAAAATATAAAAAAAAGACAGATTAAACTGATCTACTCAAAATGCGCTAGAATAATTTTGAGGACAGTTACCATATTTCTAGTTTTTTTTTTAATTGATATATTACAGTGGTATAAAGGGAAATTAAACTAAGTAAGTTGAGGAATTTTTAATTGCACTTAATTGATAAAGTAAATTTAAAATATTTAAATTATACTTGTATTTGATATTATAAAACTGTTAGATTAATTTTGCTATATTAGACTGTATCAGCTTTTTAGATTCTGGTAAAAATTATTTTTGAGAAATTATCATTCGCGCAATGAGAAGTTATCTCTTCATCATCATAATTTTTGAAGTACGTCATAAGATCTCAGAACTTATCTTGTAATTTTTTTTTTAATTTGAAATCTAAGTCCAAACTCAAAAATATCTGACTGTGTGCATTATTGTTTTCAGGAATATTAAATTTAATTAAGCCATATTTCAGTAATAGAGGCTATTAAAATATATTTAATTAATTAATTCGAATGTGTGCTGATTTAGTTACTAGATTATGTTAAGTTAAATACATAAGTTTAATTGGCAGATATATTAAGCAAGCATCTGGAATGTGTCCAAATTAGGTCACTACTTATTAATTACTATGCAAATATTTATTGTAATTATCCAATGGTGAGCATACATCCGTTATCAAATATGAACAACGTTATATCACGTTTATTGTCAAATTTTCATATTTTAACGTAATTTAGTTGAAATAATTGTTTATGTAGTATAGTATATGCCTTTATGTTCAATCAGAAAATAGCTGTCACATCGAATTACTGCAAATGCTGTAAATGAATTTTATATGACCAGAAGTGTACGCGCGAGTGTTTTGCCTGCTTGATTTTGTGGTCGCATTAAATCAATAATAAATAAGTAATAAAGCAGATGCTGCAATGAACATAACGGAATAAATTTTATTGAACGCACTAATATATTTAGTGAAGAGTGCACATTCGAGCGCATTTAGATGGCGTCGATGATGTTGCAGCTGTGGCATGTTAATCGGATTATGCGCGCAAAAATAAATTTATTCAAATGAGAAGCTGCATTTACTTTCAAAGTGTTGATTTGTGGGCGCTTTAGTTGCCAATGCTTATAATAATTGAAATTTGAACTGCATGTGGTACTAAATTTATCAAAGCCTGAAGCTAACTGTTGGTTGGTGTTACTTTTTGCTATGAGTTATATTCACATGAAAGTCAGAAAAAACGCGTGAGGTGAAAATTTTTTAAAGAGATTTTATTTATTAAATGAATATAAATAATAAAGATTTACAGCATTTGATGTACTTTAAAAGTCCGTTATTCGTTTTCTTTTCTTTGAACAACGCGTTTAAGCCGATTACACTAAGTTGAAATATTCTTACAAGCTAAGCTAAAAAAAAACTGATATAATTCTTTAAAATGTTAAATATAACTTATGGCAAATGAATATATATTTATTTATATACTTAATTATATTCATTTCTTTTATTTTCTTACAGATTTTCATCGTGAGAAGAAACTATATAAAAGACCCTACAATCCAATGCCAGCCCGAAAGGGGCTGCTTGCGCCCCAAAATACCTTCTTGGATACGATCGCAACACGTTTCGATGGCACACGTAAGTGAAGTAAATAAATTTGATTTCTATAGCTGTGTTTAAAAAAACAATAAGCTGAGACATATGGTATGAAATTTACGCCCAAGAAAACTACTAAACTAAACTCTTAATTATTGGCTTTTATCTTTTAAGTCATCCTTAACTTTGAATTTTGTTTTTTTTTAAATCATTATTTGTTTTATCAGTTTATTTTTAAGAGGTTTTCATAAAAATATTTATAACTTTAGACTACTATTGTTTTTTATTAGGCGGAGTAATGTATAACATAAAGAAACATAATAATATATTGTATAATATATTGATATTGATAAGTTATTAAATTGAAGAGGAGAAGGAGATTGATAGTCCATTGTTGAACATATTTGGGGAAATGTTGCCAATTTTTATTAAATTAATACACATTTTAAAGTTATTTAAACCTTGATATGCATTAAATTTTACAAAAAATACCTCTTCGAGTGATTGGAAGTCTCTCAAATCGGGTATTTAGTTTATGTTAGACTTATGAAGATGAGAAAGATATTAAAAGTTAAACGTTGAAATTTTTTTGGTGCAATGTTGCCAATTTTCATTAAATTAATAAAACTTTTAAGGTTATTTAAACCTTGATATGCATTAAATTTTATATAAAATGTCTCTCTCAAAGCGGGTATTTCGTTTATGTTAGACTTATGATATATATTTTGGTTTCCCGATTTAACTAGAAATATGACACATTCCAATAATATACAATATATGCCTTTTTTTAAAGTTTTGTTTTCACAATTTCTTATTACGAGAATTGCGAGACCAAGAAAAGTGTTGATAATTATAAAAAAGAAACTGTATTGGATTAGGTAGATCAAGAAAGCAATCATTTCGAAAACAAATGTTTACTTTCTTTCAGTATAGTGAAATTATACAATTTTGAACAACCATTAGTGGAGGAATATAGTTTGTTTTAAAGAAGGATCATTGATTTCTCTTTGAGCTGTCGTAAGATACCTTCTGATTAAATTTGACTCGCAGTTTTCTTGAAATTTGGGGTTTCCAATCACCATTACATACAAAACGGCTTGCCTTATGTGAGTCGTCCATCCATATCTTAACAAGCGTTTAGGCATTGGCATGCCTGTATTGGTGATAATATTTATTGATTTCTGTCAGTCCGGGTCAAATTGATCAAATGGTATATATTTTCTACATAAAGATGAAGCACTTTATCGAAATTATTGAAAATTATCTTTTCTAAATAAATCTATTATAGCTTATGGCTAGCTCCTTTCGCAACTAAAGCTTTTAGAACATTTGAGGTAAATTTAAATTGCTCTGCAGTACCGTCTTGCATGAAGTATGAGTAATCAACAGCTGTGATAACTGCGAAGATTGCTGTGTTCATGACGTTGGTAATGAAGCTTTCTATGGTTATTCAATCGCACTGCCCACCGCGTATGCCATAGCTATACCGTTCGTTGTTGCCGAAATGAAAGCTGATGCCTGTAGTTACGTAATTACATCACGTTTACGTAATAACTGCGTGTGCGTGTGTGCGTGTAGTTTGAAATTCACATATGTCAATTGTCGTCAATGCGTGCCCCGCCTACCGCTTAACACATTTACGCCCACAACACTTTATGAGCGCAATAAATCTTGCCGCACTGCATATGTACACTTAAGTACTTTCAATTTACTGCTTTTACACATACACACACACACTCGTGTACTTGTGATATATTCACACTCACATATATCAGTTGGACGAAAGCTCTTGCTAATCCACTCGCTGGCTGTTAAGTGCTGTTAAAGTGTTTATGACTTAAGAGTGTTGTTGTTGCAGTTGCGAGCTGAACCATGTAAGCGCTTAAGCAAATACTTAGGTACTTGTATCAGTAATGCGCTCATAGCGTGAAATATGAATGATCCATGTGCAAACACACACACACACTCAAATATGTGCATTTCGTAATGCAAAGGAAAATTAATTAAATTAATTGCATATAAGTGGTTGTCGTCTCGTGTTGCATAAAGCAGTCACACATACATAAGTGGATTTAAGCAGCAATATACGAAATGGCATTAGCGAAGTATTTTAAAAGCTTTCAAGAAAAGCAGTAAGTGCAATTTACAACTTGTGTGTGACAGCTTTTAATCAGCAATTAATTTTTCGAGTATTAAATAAGACTTCATTTGGCTAATTTTTATATGTATGTACAGTTATATTATGTAATTTAATTTGGAAATATTTTTCATCAGTCTGTAGTTCGAGCATATAACTCATATTTTTATATTAGCGAGTATTTTACCGTTATATAATAATAAGAAAATTTGCAGGAAAATGACGTCGTGGGTTGAGTTAAGTAAATGCCCTCATATCTACTTTTATATTTTAACTGTAAATCACTTAATTTTCATGCTACTCTGTTTGTGTTATCTTGTGCGTCATAACTATCGGTGTTGGTGGAGCGTGGTTATGTAAACTTTAGTGTCGAAGTGTAGGAAGCAAATATGTAAGCTCATGAAATGTGTATTGTTGCGATGGTATTTTATAAAAACACTGATTTTAGCTTAAAGCTGGTTGGAAAGAGGTTAGGTTAGGTTAAGGTACGTTACGTTAGGTTTTAAGATCGTTCTAAACAACGGATCACCTTTAGGCAACTGAGAACGCCGGTCGATTGTGTTACCTAAATACTGCTAAGTATACTCGTAGATCGACAAAACTCTCTAAAATCGAAAAATTGTTTGGAGCCTGTCACAGATTTGTTGAGGCTGCTATGAGCTACGTCTAATTCTTCAGGTTCATCAAAGACATGACTGCCGAGATGTTTCAACAATAGTCTTGCAAAAGCTGTACAAAGGACGAGAAGCGGAGAAGGTATTGCTCGGTTGAAAAGTGGTTCTCAAATAGGTATAGTATGTTACTGATAGCGCACTTTCAATTCTCAAGAGTACGCAGCCAACTTCAAGACTCGAAAGTTAGCACAGATTGGTTGAAAATATCATTTTGTTGATTGCGAAAGTTTATAAGTTGTCTCAATACAAATAGTCAATGATCCATTCGGCGACGTTTTCGAAGGCGTTGCACAAGTGTATGCCTCAAATGTTTTTTTACACTCGTATTTCGAAGCTTGGAGGAAGCTTAGATGAATTAGGAGTCGGGCTCGATTCAGCAGTACCATAGGTATTATGTCTATGTCTCCATTCACTTGTAAACAAAATCAACATTCTGTCATTTTATGTTACAGAGCATATTCATGGAAACCATTATATCTGCTTTAACTCTATATTCTCATCCATTTCATTTCATATAACTCTCGAGGAGTCTAGCCATGGAAGTCGATAGCTAATGCCGTCCCTAATGTATAGTTTGTTGTAGAAAATGGTAGATTACGTAAAACGGCTTACCCTTACATTAACAGTTATCTGCAACTATTTTAAGATAGGTATAAACTATCCTTGCAGTCATCTGCTTGGTGTAGATTGTCCTCCTTCTAGGAACATCAATCAATTATTTCTTGATTACGTCGACGACATTGGACATTTTACCGACCAGACTACGGACGCAAAGGATTTCAGACATGCACTGAACGCCATTCACGATGAAACTATTAATACTTTTACCGACTACCTTCAGTGAGTCAAGCCATCCCCCATAGCAGAAGAAGAGCTCACGTTGCTTCGTGTATCCAGAGTGAAACTTGCTACATGTGTACTTACTGCAGCAGATTAAACTCCTACTTATCCAGAATTAACCCCGGCATACCAAATCTATGTCCTTGAAACGAGTTCCCGAATGACTTTAACCACCCGTTTGCATGCCCTATGAAACCAACTTATCTACGTCCCCTTTTTTTATGGTCCGATCTATGAAATAAAGGACGCATAAACACAGAAAAGAGCAGGCATTAAGTAAAAAAGTTTCGTTGTTTAACCTTTTGAAACCTCACCAGAACTTCGATGGATCATATCTTTTATTTCCAGAAGGTTCACCTGAAAGATTTTTACGAATTTACAATTGCTTTTACTCCATCAGAGCTCATAACGTAGCCTCCTGATCATATTCGTTCAAGTAAAGCTAATATGAGTAACGTTGGTCGTAGAGGTAGGATCTTAAAAACAACTAACCGAATGGCAATGAATTTGGAGGGCCATATGGTGTGTGAAAAGTTCCTGTTATATTGTAGTAATGATCCAGTGATGTAAAGTTTTGGACCCCGACCATGCAACAAGCTATTCGGGGAACATGTCTCCAAACCTTAAAGTTTTAGATCAGTAAACTATATAGTATGTAGGTGTCGTTAAGGCTCAGGTACCTTAAAGCTATTAGAAGATATACGCTACTGCCTATATTCCATTGAATTCATTAGAGAGTCTATAAGGTTGCCTTTCGGCATTAAAGTGAATCTGTACGCTCTTGTTCTATAAGTTCCTTCTTACCTTTTGTTCGTATTTTTTTGTTGCCAAAAACTCCCCACGTGGATATTTGCCATTCAGTAAGCATAAAATAACAAATATATTATGTATATATATGTATTTTCATTTCTAACAGGCAATTAGTTCAGTTAGCAACGTTTGAAATCCGTAATCAAGCTTTCTGCGCGGTTTTTCCACCGCTGCCATGCAACAGTTTGTTATGTTGCAAGTGCATTGTTGCGCGAATGACATGGTGGCAACCATGTACGAGCTATTGTCAACTCTAACCACGATACCAATTATGAAATCTAAATAGTAGCATGCACTTGTTTTTCCCGGAAAGCTTTCCGATCAGTGCTAAAACCAAACCGTTGCTGTTTCCTAATTAATAAACTTACCCCGCCGAATGATACAGTTAGCAGCTATGTTATTGCGTACAAAAATTCAACTAATTGCGCAAAAAGCTTAGCTTTCACAGCATTTCAATACCGTTTTCGTACTTTTATATCCGCAACATTTATATACCTACAACAGCCCTCACCCCCTCGGCGATCCCGCTGTGGCGAGATCTGCCTTTGATTTCAATTTTGTGGCCTCCACTGTGGGGTTGT